GGGAAAAACCATACTTGCAAGATATGTGAAGATTTTTTTTAAAGTATCTCTTAATTTACCATGCAGCTCTCCCTCTTTTTGTAATTCCAGAGAAGAGAGAATTTGTGATCAGAGACCCTCAAGGAGGCCCCTTGAGTCCGTAACATTTCCAGCTCAATTGCGAAGACAGATTTCTAGCACTAAGTGCTTCTTGTTTTGATTTAAAAAGTGCTGTGAAAAGTCTGGCCACCAGAAAATTTAGGCATTTCTGCTTCAGAAAATGCACAGGGACTCTAGAGTGAAATGTGCTACGGGGAGGAAATTATCCACAATTTTTAGTCTTAGTGAAAGCTTTGATTCAGATTAGATTTTAATTCAAGGCAAAAAAATCAATGTCAGTTCTTATTTCATTTGAACTAGATCACCCACTACTACTGTGAGAATGTCTTGAAAAGTCTAATTCCTGCATACGGCAGCAGCAACAGCCTTGGTTGAGTGACTGATAATAAATGAATTTGATCATCTCCACTTCATATGGAGAAATTAAAGAGGAGGGAACCCTTGGCTGCCAAGGGATTAGTTTTTTCAGACATCTGACTCTCCTCATACTTACTGGTCCCACCCACAGGACCACATTTCGTTGCCTATCGTAAGTTCATCTGCAGCAGGCAAAACGCATGTTTACAGTCTCCTTGGTAGTAGAGTCCAGGCATCAATGTGGGGTCATTTCAGGACAATTAAACATTCATTCCAGCCATCATTATTTTGACTTTTTTGTAATTCCCTCTATTATAAATGTATTTCCCCATGGACATCAAGGAGAGAGGACAAAAGATAAATAGATATTAAGGAGTGAAGCTGTGGACTAGGTCCTCAAGGGAATACAGACTCCAGAGAGAGAGGAGAACAAGGAAAATGCTATTTCTTTCTATTATTTACATAACCTGATTTTTGCTCTTGGAGTGGAAATTTGTTTCATTGTGATCAACTTTGATCACATGCATAAAAGTGATTACCAGAGAAATTTGCATTAGTGATTACTGTATAAGGTGTTTGAAGGCTGATTTCACTGAGAGAACTGGGAAAAAATCTGGACCATGTGGAATCAGTGTTACAATAACCCCCAAAACTATTTAGGATGCGCTGTACCACGTGTTGGAGCTAACTGCCTAATCTTGTCTTCTCAAGCAGAAGTTACCTGTAAAATGGTGAGATAGCACTTGTATAGACACAGTAGAGTTTTCCCTCTTGATTGTATTTATCCTGCAGAGAAGATAGAGCCTTCACTAAAAGGAAAAATATGTTATAGCAGGACCTGTCTCATCGCTAAAAGACAACAGCTTTCAAAGTTTTCAGAACAAAAACACAGAGACCGATTAAGTTGTTTACCCACAAAATTTAACCACAGTGTTGACTGTAACATTGAAAATGCAGCTATGACAATTTAAATCAGCTGAGAATTTGGCCCAATAAGCAAAAGATCAACAGCAGGTAAATTGCTTCCAGTTTGAAGAAATGTTCTTATTCCCCAAAGCATCTCTCTTCCCTACTCCTTTCTTCCCTCTCCTTACTTTTAAAAGAGTTTACTAGTAAAAATAAGTGAGCCCAATTCTGAATTCCCTCACACTGGTATCAATCGATTGACATTACTACGGATACTCCAGTTTTCTACTGCTCTATGAGCAGATTGAGGCAAAATACATATATAATTTATTTATGTTGCTACTTTTATGGTTATCATTAGCATTGTTTGAAAACAAGATTGAAACATAGGTTGTTTGGAAACTGTCACAGGATGGCCTCATATCAGCCCTTCTCCAGGTACAAGCTCAGTCCAAATTAAAGCAGTTCCTATCTAAGGGCTTGCCTTCACTGCACAGGTAACTTGAATTCTGGTGTGAGTGTTGCCCCTAACTTGAGTTCCATCTCCACACAAAAACCTTTAACTCCACTGTGGTGGTGCTTTTAATTCAAGCTAGCTGGCCAGTCAGGGGGTATAGCTTCAGCCTGAGTTGGCACAACTTGTCAGTTGCTAATCCAATCACTTTGAGCTGCTAATACTAACACTTAAGCTGCACAGCAACACTCGTTTGCAGTGTGGCTGCTCTTGCTTGAGCACTGGCTAACTCCAGGGTAGATCATTTGAGTTAGCTCTGCAGTGAGAGCATAGCCTACGGTTCAAAGGCAGTTCAAAAGAAAGCACTCCCTTTGGAGGGTGAAAAGCTCATTCAAAATACAGTCCCAAAGTAAACAGAAATTGTCTTATTTCATGTTCCCTGACCCACAGCCCTCTCTTCCTGGGATCAAGGCCATAATCAGCATCTTCTCCACTAGCCCCTCCCCCACTTCCTTTTCCTCTCTCTAGCAGCTGGCTCTGATTGCCTGATTGTTTCCAGCTGCCTTGACCTCCCACCTTTTTAACTCTTTCCTCCCTGATGTCCCCACAATCCAGCATAAAAAGGAAGGTGTTTTCTCATCTATACTTCTTGAGTGACCCCAAAGCCCAGCCCCAGGGTCCTTCCAATATCTAGATAGCTACTATATCACCACAACAAAACGCAGGACACATTTTAAAGAGCAATCTAACTGGACATTGTGGAGCAGTTATACTATTCCATCTCTTCCACAGTTACCAGAGACCACTAGGATGTATTGCAGCAGACAGTTTAATAAACATAGGAACTTCCCGGTCAAGGAGTTTTCTAGTTGCTGCTAGACGCATCACTCATTGTATTTGTCCTCACACCAGTGGTGCCGGAACGGGGGAGCCAGAGGGCCATGGCACCATCACTTTTTAAAATGGGGGCAGCTATGCCCTCCCACTTTTTACCTGCCATGAGGAGAAGCAACAGGTGGCGGGGTCTTCAAGGGGAAGAGGCGATGTGGGGGCAGGGCCTCAGGGGAATGGGCCACACGAGGGCAGGGGCTCGAGGAAATGGGGAGCAGGGCCATGGTTCAGGTGCTGGTGGCCCCCACTTTTAGGGAGCTTCTGCCACTCCTTCCTCACACTATATGAGGTCAGAAGTGAGTTAATCCCTCTCTCTAAAGAAGGAATGAGAGAAAGCATTGTGAGTGAGCCAGGAAAATGGAAAATCAGGGAGGAGGCATGTGAAAACTGCAGCAGGAAGGAGGCAGAGTCCTGTCTCAGTGCAGCTATGGCGCCCATAGTGCAAATGGCTCTGCTAGAGAAGTCTGATTTTGGCAACTCAGGCAGCTGGCCTCGCTGGATCTATAGATGAGAATGATCTCAAATGGCTTCTAGTTTAGCAGGGACAAGCACAAGCATACCAGGTAAATGCCCTGATATTTGCCATGGATGCTGCTGCTGCTATCCTGTGTGCCCATGCCCTGACTGAGGAGAAAAGAGAGAATACACCAGACTGCAAGTGGGTTTTGAGGCCCATTTCATAGGCAAACAATTTTATACAGATTGGCCAAATGTAATAGAAGGCACCAGGAACATAGGGAAACAGCAGAGATTTATTACTGAAGTTCAGGGTCTTGCTGAACATTGCCAATATAAAGCATTAAAAGGAGAACTATTAATATACAGGAG